AGTGAAAAGGCGGTATATAAATAAAAGCTTACTTACTTACTAGAAATGTTGTGATACAAGCTCCAGTTAATTATTACCCAAACAACAAAAAATGCACCATCATAAATAATGTCAGATTTTTGTAATTTCCATGAAATCAGAAAGGGCAATTTTGTTAAGTTCTACGCCTTGATTAAATAGACGCTCGTATCTTACTCAGCTCTGTGTAAACTGCCTCGGGGCTCCTCTGACCCCAGTCCCTTTTCTGTTGGAATCATTGCACTAATGAAAGTCTGACCAGCGGCTCTCAAGGGTCACGGCTCGCTGAAAGAGACCCTCCATCCGCTAATAGAACAGGCTTAATAGAAACACCACTACAATTGTTTGTAGTCATTAGCAAAGATATTGAAAAATTAGGCAAATATGTCATTTTCCTCCCAAAGCCTGCATGAATATTGAGTGATTCATATCCGTCTTGAAAGGAGTGAAAAGAGCAGAGGCATTTCTGAGTCTCGCAGCTGAGCACAGCGCGTTCAGTGTCAGTGTGGGTTCGTTTGGAGACAGTGTCACAGTAAGAGCCCATTGTTATTTTCTTCTTGAGGTGTGTGAGTTTCCAATGACCAGCTGCGAGTGTGAATCCATCCGAACATCTGCTGTGAGGCTCTTCCTGAAGGTCGAAGCATCCTGTCCATCCACTCTGAAAACACGGGTTTACTGAGTGACTATGTGTGATTTAACATTCACCATTATTGATGTTTTATAGGCTAATGCTACTGACTCACTGCCCTAGCATCCTTGCACTAGTGTGTCATTAACAGGAATTTATACAGGGCTTTTTTGGACACTCAAAAATGCTTTAAATGTCAGTTCTCAATCACTCCATACACGGTGGTGATGAATTTCTACTGTAGCCAATGCTGTCTTCGTGCACACTGACTGAGTTCTTGGCTATGTGGGTGAAGTGTCTTGCCCAAGGATAGAACAGTTTGGCACTTTGGCAGCCATATCTGTCCCACTATGGCACCTGGTGTTCACAGTGGTCCCCCATTACAGAACTAACCAGGCCCTGCCCTGCTTAGCTTCAGAAGTCTGGATCTGGTTTTCCCACGCAGGTATGGCCAAAGATAGAGATTTTATTTTTAAAGTATGAAGTTGTGCTTTACTTTATACTCACTTATCTTGTACTCTGTAATTTGTGGTGCAACACTGAAATGTCCCCCCTGTGAAACGCATATAGGATCTCTTCATCTTAACCTTAATATTATTTATGCTACATTTTGGTGAGAAATCATGTCACTAATGTTGCCCAATGACAATATAGTGATTTCATATAATGCTTCATTGAGAATGTAGGCGTAGCTGGTTGCCGTGGGTAATGGGAGTGGGCGTGGCTTCACCTCCAGCTCCTCAGACCTGGCCACTGCTGTCCACAGAGACACAGCTTATTGATTTTCTATTAAAGAATAGACAAAGTGGTAAATGTGACGTGCTTCTGTGATTCATCGGCTCTAGTTCTGAAGTCACTAACAATGTCTGAATTAAATGTTTCACTTTCCATCAATAACAAATTGGGTCATGTGTTGAAGTGAGCGAGAGGCTTCTCACTTTGATTATGTGATTGTATCAGGCCATTCAGACGTTGCGATGAAGTGGGACTAAAGTGTACTTTCTTTTTGGTGCGTCTGAAAAACATGAATAATGCATTTTACTTTCTGTTGTCCATTCCCACAAAGAACCGAGGCATTCACCGCTGCACAGAACTAATGACCACATTCGAATTCAAGAAACATGTTTATTCTTACAGTTTTGCTGTACTGCTGCAAGAAGTCATTTATATAGTGCATTTTTACAGACCAAGGTCACCCAGAGCGCTTTACAATGTTCAAGGTTCAATGAGCAAGTTTGTCACAAGGATGTTCTGATGATAGTTTTTCCTTCAATCATCTCAATTTTCTTTGTTTCAGTGTTTCAGTGTTTTAGTTTGGTGTTATTGGGTACGGTCAGGACTGGTTGGGACTCTCACTTTTCAGCACAGAAGCTCTCTCCATATGTCAGTGTAAGTTTCCTCCGGTTGCTCAGGTTTCCCTCCCACGAAAAACAAGTAAAATAGCATCCCTCCCTCTGGAAAAGAGACATTTAAATTATCAATGGGACTTTTCCGGTTCAATAAAGGTAGATCCATCCATACATCCATCCATTTTATTCCGCTTTATCCGTTGCCGGGTCGCGGGGGCAGCAGTCTAAGCAGAGACGCCCAGACTACCCTATCCACACACACTTCCTCCAGCTCGTCCGGGGGGACCCCAAGGCGTTCCCAGGCCAGCTGAGAGACATAGTCTCTCCAGCGTGTCCTGGGTCTTCCCCGGGGCCTCCTTCCGGTGGGACGTGCCCGGAACACCTCCCCAGGGAGGCGTCCAGGAGGCATCCGGAACAGATGCCCGAGCCACCTCAACTGGTTCTTCTCGACGTGGAGAAGCAGCGGCTCTACTCCGAGCTCCTCCCGTGTGACCGAGCTCCTCACCCTATCTCTAAGGGAGCGCCCAGCCACTCTGCGGAGGAAGCTCATTTTGACCGCTTGTATCCGCGATCTCTTTCTTTCGGTCATTACCCAAAGCTCATGACCATAGGTGAGGGAGGGAACAAAGATTGACCGGTAAATCGAGAATCACTGCGCACGCTGCACCGATCCGCCTGTCAATCTCACGCTCCATCCTTCCCTCACTCGTGAACAAGTCCCCGAGATACTCGAACTCCTCCACTTGAGGAAGGACCTCTCCACCCACCTGGAGCATAAAGGTAGATAACAATGAAAAACATGGGTAATAGGCAAGCAACTAAAAAGTGCTGAACAAAATAAGATAGCATTGAAATCATAAATAATCACAGTACAGTACATTAAAAAGAAAGACAAAAATATAAAATCCCTCAGTTGTATGCACAGCCAAACAGAACTGTTTGACTTTTAAACATTGTCAGAGAGGAGGCCTGTCTCACACTTTCATGAAGACTGTTCCAGATTTTAGCAGCATGAATCTGAAAAGCAGCCTCTCCATGTTTAGTCCTGACTCTGGGCACTAACAGCTGAACATTCTTTTAAATTGCGAATGTGCTCAATAGGATTAATGAAGCAGTATTTAAAGATTTTTTGTCACTTGACTTAAATATGAAACGTTTTCCTATGAGAAAAAATAAATATTCACAATTTATCTTTATATTTTATGTCTCCAAATAACCCTAATACAACGATCACAGTTCAAATGTAATATTATTTTTTAGAAATGCTTTGTGGACTTTGACAAGTGGGTGAATTAGTCGTATCTCTTATGGTTTAGTGGTTACTATTCACCGGGGCTGTCATTACTGTTGTGAACACACCAATCACCTGCTGCAGAGTAGATCAGACACTGGGGAAGTCATTAGAGAAATTCTGTCTCAAATCATGATACACCTCATTAGAAAATCCCTCACGCTCGAATCTATGATCATTCTATTTAGAGTTTTGCGGCCCATGAGATTATTGCATCATTGAATACTTTTTAAATCAAAAGTCTATATGAGTGTTTGGGGGTAATTAACACGGAGCAGATTAGTTTGTGTCGAGATCTTTCTCTGGGATTTGTCTTAGATGTATTCAACAGCTCAAAAAATACTGCAAATAAACATGATGTTGTGGAGATATTCTTGTTGTTGCATTGTGTGTGGTTTAGTTACATAAAAACAGTAAAAAAGGACATAGAAAAACAGGCGTAACAATGGATTAAACTTTACCCTTTATCACACGGGGAGGTCTCTCATTGGCCAGTCGCCCCAAGAGGAAACACAGGTCACACCTCCACAGCTGACCAAATGAAAATAAGTAACTCAATCATTCGTTCATTGCATTTACGCTTGAATTAAGACGTTTAACCCTAACCCTAACCCTTTTCTCACAAAATCATGTAGTCAGACACAATAACAGTGGGCACACATTTTGACAGTTTGTGAGACAATGACGAAATTATAAATGAGAAAACAAGTTCATAATTTTAGTGTAGTCATACCTGCGTTTGAAAACCAGATCCTGTCAAACCTCAGAAGCTAAGCAGGACAAGGGCTTGGTTAGCACTGTGATGGTAGACCTCTGAAAACACTGGTGGGGCGGCTACAGCTATAAAGTGCCAAACTGTCATTGAGTCCATAGACGAGACACATGAATGATTGTTGGTGGTGGTGGTGGGAGGGACATTGTCACATTAAAAAAGCGCAATATGTAACTAATGCATTATTATGATAGTTATACTTGATGCGTTGACAAATCTTCCAAATATACTCAAATCCAGAGACATTTTCACACATTCAAGTGACTTTTTGCTTATCTTTTGTCCCTTTTATGCTTTCAAAGAACGTAAATGATTTTGATGTGATAGCAATAATAATGCATTAATGGTGCAGGCCTCATTCAGAGCAAAAGGAAGGTCCTCACAGTTCAGGGCTCTCCACAAGTATTGACACAGAAATCTGCCGACAGTTGATAACAAGCAACTATGGGGGTTGCCAGGTTTGTCACATACATCACATGTTCCAAATCAATCTGTTGGCTTTGTTTGATCATCCGCTCATATTGTGGCAGATGTTGTTAATGTGCACAAAAAAGGCAGTTTGCTCCCGATAAATCCACTTTCACAGAACGTTAAGCATTCAAGTAGCTATATACATGTATGTGTCTAAATATGACAAAATGAATCTGTTTGTTGTAGGAAAAATACACTTTACGACTTCATGATGTCCACTACAATGAAACTGGCTTCTCCTGAATCTCCTCTTCCTCTTTTTTGAGTAAATACCAACACACAGTAAATTGCTTTTCTTGGAGAGGCACATGTGAACAATGAGAGCGGCCTCGGACAGTGGCGTGCTCGTACATGCTAACTGTGGGATTAAAGCAGGAGGTCTGTCTGTGAGGAGCTCAGTGGAGAGCAGTGGAGAGGTATGGCACGTCCTGCTGCTGAAGGGACACTTGTGGATGGTCTTTTATTGTGGAGATGTTTGACAAAGCCGGTCCCACTGCAGCAGAGCTCTGGAGTGCAGCACAAGAGGAAGGGCCTTTCTCCACGGACCACGAGCTTTCATATGTGCAGTGGGGTAATGGGACATAATACTCATTTGGAAGTGGAATGGAATAGCGAGATAAGTTTGTTCTCTTTGCCTCGTTGTCAGGACGAGCCGGCTCAGAGATAGTTTTTATCCTTTGACCCTGTGAAAGCACATTAGACACTCTTTAATGTATTGTAATGTAGTTAATATATGTACAAGCACTAGCGGCTGTGTACAGTCTTGCATATACAGTATATTCATCTGTGTTGTAAATATGATCCTATTCTTATTATTACACTACTAGTTAAAAGCTAAACTGCATTTGGTTGCATTGTTCTGGCATTGTGATGAGAAAAAGGTTGAATATATATCTATTCTAATCTAATCTCATTCGTATACAGCACTATTCTATATTATACTAAGGGCATGAGATTTTAAACTGTACTTTTACTGATAATATATTATGCTTGAGTTTGAGATGCTTTATTTTGAAATCACAGAAATGTAAAAAACAAAAAACAAAAAAACAAATAGAATCATGAATGAGAAACATTGACTCAATTCAGAGTTTCACGTGTAATGAACACAGCCCAGAACATTTTCTGATAAACACGGTAGTTTAGTTGGAGATATTGATCATGAAACCCCACCAAAAGCATATTGCTGTGCTTAACTTTGGTGTCCTTGCTGCTGTGTGTCTCCTGTGTCAGGCCTCATTGATTAGTGACGTTTAGCTGGAGACAAAGACACACGGGGCCAAAGGATAAGAAGAGCGGCTCTAGTCTGAGCACAGGCTGTCAGCGAGCAAAGTGACCTTACACCAGTCTCCGGTCCTAAATGCGCTGTCTTTCACTGATTCTTTCAATAATGTCTTTCACAAATGTACTCTCTCTCAAGGACAACTTCAAATGTTCCCAATATATCTGGTGTAATTCCATATTTTTTCTATAATTTTTCCCATTTTTTTGTTTGTCTTTAAAGCTTTCCTAATGATGCTGAATGTTCACACCTCGCCTTAATGAATAAAGAGAGCTGTGTGTGATCCATTCTCAGTATAAAGGGCCTCAGAGATGTTGGAGTGCCACTAAACAGCATAATGAAGGCCAAGGGGCACATAGAGAGGTCAGGGAGGAAGGGAACACCTCACAAGGCACAGTTTATTTCATTATTTAGAAAAGGAAAAAGTATGAGCAGAGTTCGTACTGCCCCCAACGGTCTGCTCATCGACATCCATGAGTATCTGTGGATGGTTTTAAAAGAGCCTTCTTTAGAGCTCTGGAGCTGTTCGAGTGTCTCCAGATTTAAACATGCCCGAGCTACAGACAGGCATCAAAGATTTGGATTGTGATGAATATATCCAACCAGTACGAGCGCAAACACATACCTTGAACTAAAACATGAAAGAGCAAGAAATGTGCATGTACCAGTTAATTTAATACTCCATCTCAGTTAGCATTTGAATCACTAAGATCTGCCATTTCACATTATTACTGAAGATTCTGGGCATGTCCTGATCTCACAAATGTACGAAGTCTTTTGAAATGGAAATCAGTTTACTAATATGGTTGAATGTTTTACCCTGGAGAGACGTTAGCCGCTCCATGACTGGGTGGGTACGTACCAAGATGAAATATTCAGTAAACATTGACATTTCTCCTCATACAGCTCTTTCATCTGTCTGAAATACCACAGGCAAAACTGACAGGACAAGCTCAGTTTTTATTTTGGTCCAGAGCTATATTTGGACGTACTCTGTGTTGCGGGTTGAGATAAGCATCATTTTTGTGAAGACTGACTTTTAACAGCGTTTGATTGGCACTAATACAACGTCACGTCACCGTACACACGCCGGGCGTTTTTTTCAAACTTTACTTTTACAGACGCCACGGTCTCCCTCAAGGCCAAGCCACGTTCCAGTCTTCTTCAAGTAAGAATGGATGTTCACCTGTCACTGAATGAAAGTCAATCATATCATTTACAAAGTTTACCGCTTCATTTGAAGAGGAACTCTCTCCAAATTTGGTCTCCTTCACCTTCAAGGCTCTTCCTGGCCTCGCACAGAAGTACATCTGAGACATGTTAGTGCCATATGGGTGCTCCATTGAACTTACTGTTCAATTTTAACAGACTTATGTGAAGGCTCTTAACTTCCTTCTTTAAAATGTAGGAAAGAATTTCAAATTCTTTATCAATCATACACAGTATTACTAATTTTACATTAGCTGATAGAAAGTTCCCAGTTTAACTATGAGTTGACACATTATATTTGACTAAATACCATTCCATTTTATCATTGATGCTGTACATTTGTGCCTGGATCTATAGGGGACGTATCCTGGAGACCAGACTGTGTTTACTCGGCTTATTCTTCACATTTCCGAGGGCAAACTTTGAGCACAGTACAGGACAATAGTCTGGATTATTACGAACTCTGTCAGCCATTTGATGTTAGGGTTTAAAAGGTCAAAAATCAAAAAAATATATATTATTGGATTGTGCTGAAAATGTAAGTAGATAAGTTTTAAATAAAGTGATATATTCACTTTCTCTCTGACACAAAAAGATGCATGTCAAATCAAAGACAGGCTCACATCTTCACAGACCTGACTCTATGACTTGGCCTGAAGGACTTCCTCCATTTAGAGCTAAAATGTACATCATAAACAATTGTTTCTGAGAACTTGTTTGCTTGCGTACAAACCATGTTCACAGTAGAAATACACAAATGGTTCCTTATTCAGTCACTTTGAACAGCCTTGGAACACTGTACAGAGTCAATGTAAACTAATCTTCTCAGGGCGATGCCTTGAACAAGCTGAACTTTTTCACACTGATTACTGAAAGCCAGTGTGGCACAGTATTCACTAAGTGTTTTCCTCTGTCTGAACAGACAAAGACTGTGGTGAGAGCCTCCCTCGGTGTAGTTTGACAACAATCAATAATATGGTGTACTTCCTGCAGCGCTCAGACTCTGACCACTACATCCAGCCGCTGATCGACTGAGAATATCGTTATCCGTGTGATTAGTGACTCACAACTTCACAAAGTGCCCCATTGGAAGAGCCTTGTTAGACCCGGGCCGTATAGTCACACACTTTATTCAACTTACAACCAATTTCTGACATGAGATATTCAAAGCTTCTGTCAATGACCTATTAGCCAAACTGTGAGAGCAGAGACGAGGCAGCTCTGTGTGTGCCTTCAGTTTAAATTGTGGTACTGGTAAGTTGTATACAGTCACTTTCTTATAACATGTTTTCTGTGGTGGGTATTTGTAAAACAGGCCACAGACACTCATTCAGGTACAACTTGAGAACAAAATCTGCAACAAAACTTGGACTGGAACTTCCAACCAGAAAAGTTGAGAGAAGTGCAATTATTTCAGAAGTTTCTTAGAGAATAGATTAGCTTCCCAATTTTAGAGAGCTGAAAAGTATTGGGACTCCTTTGTCGGCTGTTCCATAGCCAGATGTAATCATTCATTATTCCAATTTACCATGATCAGACAAAAGGTTCTGATTCTAGTATAATTCTCAATATTATTTCCAAAGAAAACCAAAGGAAAACCACTGTGGGTGTCAGAATGATTTTCTTCCTGGTGAAGAAAAAGGCCAGAGTGAAAGACACAGGATATTTGTGACTCTCTTCCCGTGCACAAAAGCATGAAACTAACCTTCTGCTGAAATCTATAATTGCTGAATTCTCTTGTGAAAACAAACATTGCAGGACTGAAAGCTCTGGTATATTATCAGTCTTCTACGGAAGAAAAATCTGTTGTTATAATAATGTATTAATGTTGTATGAAATTATCTAAGTGAAGAAATATGAGCTTTGCATTTAAAGGTGATGTGTCATTACAGAGAACATGAATCATGATCAGAAAGAGACTTACCGTTCTGTTACCCACAGCGTTTGTATCAGGCCCAGAGTTCTGCTCGCAGCACCAGGAGGAAAAGCGTGACAGCCATTTCATGGTGTGACACAAACTTTGACGTGGGAGAACGTCCCATAGACCACTGAGATTAAACAGGAGTCAGATCGATAGGGAGCTCCTCTCATGAATAATGTAACGTGGACCCACTCCCAGCTCCACAGCTTCAAAGCATCATACGGAGGCTCTACTGTAATAAGCTCCACTTATTCTGAGGTCAGTCTCTGCTCTTTGGACGGAGTCACGGAAGTCACAGATTAACAAGGGCAGATTAATCACACTGCTGTGTTTGAAATGATAATTATCTTTATAAAGTGATTATTGTCTAATGAAAACCTCCAGTGATCCTCTTTATCGAGCGTATACAAATGTTTAATTTATGTCAGCCTAACACTGACATTAAGAGTGAAAAGCAGGACCTGTTCCTTCAGGTTTCTGTTTGTTTACATAATGCTTCTGAAAGAACTAGAAATAACTTCATCAGTGCATCCTGTGTTTGAGCGGTTTGATTCTCTGATCAAACCGCTCAAATGTTGGTGAATTCAGCAATTTTGTAAAATCCTCTGAGATAACTACTGTTGTGATTTAGGGCTATACAAGAATAGATTTAAGTGAACTTTCTGTTTTGTCCATTAGGGTTTAAATTTGTGGATAACAAAAGTCTTGGTAATGTGGTAAATCATGGTTCCAGCTCAAACCAAGAAAAATAAATCACAAAATCCAGTCAGTCGGACGGCTCAGAATTGTTAGAATTGTTTTTTTTTTGGGGGGGGGGAGACTGATGCGTGCCCCGGGGCAGCTGTGGCTACAGTACCTTAACAGTGTTTAAGTGAATGATTCAGTACTTTCATGATCTCTGCAGGAGACTGGGTCTTATCCATATACGTCACATATTGAACCACATTCTTTTAGTGCTGTCACAGATACTGACTGACAGATGCACCGATAACTAACTGTGCAGCTCTGCCATAGACATAATAATAAAGCCATATGGCACATTTTCCTGAGTTTAAAGCCATATGCACAATCTCATTGTTGTCCATGCCCGTAGCCTCTACCTAACCCGGGCAAGGGCCAGATCCATATTGTTGAGAATTCTGACAGTGATCAAGGTTTCCCTGCCTTCATTTGTTTTTCTGGCATCTCATTTTTTTCAGGAGCTACAGTAATCCAAAGTTCAGATATTGTTCCATCACACGGTGATGATGGAAACGAGACTGGACCATCAAAACCTAAAACCAACACCATCCAATCACTCATTACATTCATTCCTATTGTACATATTTTAGTGGTAGGGGAAACCGGAGCTTCCAGGGGGAGACATACATAGACACAGGGAGAACATGCAAACTCCACACATAAAGGCATAAGTGCCACCCATTACTCTTCATCTTTTGTTATCATGATACTAGATCTGACATCTCATATTTACTGGAGCGAAATCATACAAAAAAAAAAGTCATTCTGAAGTTGCCTATACGCTTTGGAACATTCTGATTAATAATTGCGGATGCCTTTAGGGAATGAGGTTGCACCCTTTGTATCTTTGCGTTGGTATAATTGCGTCCTTGAGTCTCCATTCAGAAGGACGTCTTATATTGATCACTGGTATTTGTTTACGTTAAGGCTCGCCCACGCAGGTCGGAGTTGCTATAGAAACTTTCATTTGTCAGAGACGACACGGGGACTGTTTCATAATGATCCGTGGAAACAGAGTTGTAGTTTAATTAACGTAACAAGAAGCATACAAAACAACTCAATGGAGAAACGCACAACACACAGAGGTACCCACAACTTTATAATGTCGGTGCGGCCCCCACTGAGAGTCTGTGCAAATGTATGGCATGTTATAAATAATTTTAAAGATAGTTTTATCAAGAAAACAACCATGCCATTTATTTTAACCATAAACATTGAACCTTGGGCGGCACAGTGGCTGAGCAGATAGCACTCTCATCAAGAAGGTCCTGGATTCGAATTCCGGTCGGACCAGCGCCTTTCTGAGTGGAGTTTGCATGTTCTCCTCGTGTCTGCATAAAAATATGTACAATAGGTCTGGCATGCGCCTCCTGTACTGGCCACGCTCCCATCTCTGTGTGAGAAACAAATGCCCAAAATTAACAATTGTAAACCGCTTTGAGACTCAGATCTGCAGTGAAAAGACTATAAATAAAGATTACTTACTTACCTTGAATGAAATAAGCCATAATTCAAGGTAAATGTATTTTCAAACCCAGACTACAACTGAAAAAGCCGTATTGCTTTTTGCTAAGTTTTGTTTCAATCCAAGCAGCTGGACACATTTTGTCAATGGAAATATATAAAAAAAATATATTAAACTGAACTAATTTTCAATCAAAGGAATTATTTGGTCAAAACACCTTCATGATGATAAACAGTCACAGATACAAACAAAAAACAATCATCATTTTATTTTAATTTTCATTCATTTTTTTTCTGTGTGCTCCTCATTCCTACTGTTCTGTAACTGGTGAAATTTACCCACTGTGAAAGGATCAGAAAATTGTAATCTTAATTTTAATCTTAAAGGTGTATAGGAGGAATTTTGACAAAGAACCGCCCTCTCCACTTTTTGAACAAAACTCTCTAATCTTATTTGACGAGCACGTATCTCCAGAATGATTGACAATTGGGAGGACCAATCGTCTTGATGATCCACCCGGAAGTAGAAAATCCTCCTATATACCTTTAATTTACACCTGTAGTCCCTCAGCGGGGTCTTGCAAAACAGTAAAAACAAAAGCAGATGGACACATGACAAAACATGATCAGACGTGGTTTAACATCATGCTTTGTGTTTGCTACATTGTGGCAGCTTTAATCCTGGTCTAGTCCATGTAAATCCTGGTCTAGTCCATGACAGTCCTGGTCTAGTCCATGTAAGTCCTGCTCTAGTCCATATAAATCCTGCTCTAGTCCATGTAAGTCCTGGTCTAGTCCATGTAAATCCTGGTCTAGTCCATGTAAGTCCTGCTCTAGTCCATGTAAGTCCTGCTCTAGTCCATGTAAGTCCTGGTCTAGTCCATGTAAATCCTGCTCTAGTCCATGTAAGTCCTGCTCTAATCCATGACAGTCCTGGTCTAGTCCATGTAAGTCCTGGTCTAGTCCATGTAAGTCCTGCTCTAGTCCATGTAAGTCCTGGTCTAGTCCATGTTAGTCCATGTCAGTCCTGGTCTAGTCCATGACAGTCCTGGTCTAGTCCATGTAAGTCCTGCTCTAGTCCATGTAAGTCCTGGTCTAGTCCATGTAAATCCTGGTCTAGTCCATGTAAGTCCTGCTCTAGTCCATGTAAGTCCTGCTCTAGTCCATGTAAATCCTGGTCTAGTCCATGTAAATCTTGGTCTAGTCCATGTCAGTCCTGGTCTGGTCCATGTCAGACAGAGAAGCAGCGTTTGATTAGAATAAAGGCGCTGTGGGTGGGACCCCGCTGGGGCCGCTGTCAGGGGCTAATTGCAGTGTGGCATTTAGCATATAGTCACATTAACTTTCATGACAACATTAGCCCTGGACGACTCCTCCTAGGTCAGAACAAGCCCTCACATCCTTTAGTTCATGGTTTGGTGAGGTTTAATAAAATAATAATAATAATTTGTGCATTCAGACGGGGTTGGTTCAGGAGATTTGAAGTCTCTTGTCGAAAATAATATACTTTAAATGGCAATCTTATGTACTGTAGAGTAACCTGGAAGTTTTACACTCAGTCTCTTTATTAGGCGAAAATTTTGGATTTTATGCAAAAGTCAGAGGTATTGTTCTTTTTTCCTACTTCTTCATAATGCTACAGTTGAAGACTTTATACAACTTTTTAAGATAAAGTTAGTTATTTATTTATCTGTGTGCTTCTCCTAGAGTTCTGTAACCGGTGATGCAACACTGAAATACCACCATTGTGGGACAAATGAAGGATCGCTTAATCTTTACATTTCTTTTAATTTAGACTGAAATCATGCAGAACATTTTATTTGACCTTGTGCGTCACAAAAAAGACGTCAATCCACAGGTAGTTCAGACAACAAGACATGACTGAAGCCGCCATGACCTTAAAGACCTT